GTTGGAGGCCATCGCTCTTAGGTTGGAGGCCATCGCTCTTAGGTTGGGGGCCATTGGGTGCCCCGTTTCAGGGGCACCATTTGCTCACCGATCTTCTACCCACACAACTTGCCCACCCGCTGGCGGAGCTAGGAAGGACAGCTCGACATGTCCGCTCCTGAGCCAAGTGATCGCCCGCCGTGCGCTCATGGGGCGAAATTCGTAAACTGAGGCAGAAGTGTCAGGTTTCCAGTTGAACATGGAGACGTGATCAGCATCTCGCGACAGGCTAGACTAGAGACAGTTTCTGTCCTGATATTGCAGGTGATCCTCGAAGAGTGCATACGACCCATGTCATAGGTCAGACAGATGCATCCTTTTCTGCTGTCCAGATCGCTTGCCGTAGGGGCACGCCAGCTGGAAGCGTACCGTCGTCCGGACGGATGAAGACACCGACGTAGTCACTGTTGCTTTCATGCTAACTGCCCCGCTGCCAGGGTCCCGTAATGGATATATATATATATATACACATATATACATATATACACACATACATACGAGATACGCACCCACTTCTTCCTCTTTGTCCCACTGCCACAGAAGCGGCTAAGGACCTGGTGCAGATCTACGTGAACATGCCTGATGCCTGGGCAGACGCTGTAAGCAAGGGCCCTTGATGATGGAGTGACGGGAGACACGAGACCTTCAACACTGTAAAGTGTGTTGCATCCTTCGCATCCTTCGTGGTGTCCAAACTGCAAAGACGGTGCAAGAACATGAACCCCAACACTGCTCTCAGTGCCCCTGGCTTCCGAAGAAGATGTCAAGGATCTACTGTAACATCAGCATATGGCATACGATCTCCAAATGCTGTGCGTCTACAGAGTCTGGTTGACCATGCCCACATGCATCCGTCCTTCCCCTGCCACAACAGCAGTGATGGGCCGTCTCTGGTTTTTGTTTTGATTCAAGTCAAAACCCTCACCCGCATCCCAAGAAACGAATCATATACCAATGGGTGTTTTTTCCAAACATAATCCCCCTAAAAACTCATCTCATGTTTCTCACACGCCACATTTGTGCCTTGCCTGGGCTTCCTGCGTGCGCCTCGCGCACGCCTGCACACGCTGCGCCTGCTCAGCTGCTGACAACATCTCGGTGCACATGGGCAGCTTTGTGCTTTGGAAGCTGAGTCATGCTCGTCAGGTCGCTAGGGCTGTGGGCGGCAGTAGGGAACTCTTCGAAATTTCTTCTAGGCCAATCAATTTCGAAATTCGAGCTTGCTTTGACACATAGCCTTAGGTACAAAACCACGGGTACAGTAGTTTATATATTTTTTGTTCTTTTCGTCGCGTCAAACGGCGTTTGGCTACCTGGGTCACGGGGTGGGAGACCGGAGGCCTTCCGTTGCGCCGTGGCTGTGACTCACACGCGCAACGGTTGAGGACAAACCGCACGGGTGTGTTCCTCCGCCGCGCTGTTGGGCGCGCAAGTTTGTCCAAGAGTGCCAACACAACTGGGACCAGGTGCCAACATGTCAAGAGTTTTTAGGGCTCTTGCCGGTTCCTTTCTGTTTGGGCTTATCAGTTGCAACGTCATCCGGATGTGCTTTTGGCGTGAAATCGTTGTCACTTGGTGGTTGGAGGCCGAGGCCGAGGTTTTTCGGTGATTCGGTCGAAGTTTTCGGAACAATCATCCAGCAGTCAACCATCATCTTCCGAGGAGACTCTCTTGTGTCTGGCTCTTTTGGCCTCAAAGCAAGCGCTGAGGTGTGCCCACACACTCTGGAGAACAAGACCGGCAGTTTGCTGAAGGCAGGAAAACATCCGATCAGAAGGGGGCGGAGCTTGGACCTGGAGGAATAGTCTTGGCCTCCACATTGTAGTAGTGGTAGTAGTAGGAGGAGGAGGAGTATAGCAGCAGCTGTAGCAGTAGCTGTAGCAGTAGCAGTAGCAGTGGTAGCAGTTTATCTAAGACCAAAGAAGCTGAGGACCAGCACGCCCGCTGTGTTGGCAACGTTCGTCCAATTCCAACATCGATGTAGCAGTATTTGTATATTCTCACTCCGCTGCCTAGTTGCGCAAATGTTGGTTTTGTTTCATACGTTTTGGATTGCTTGGCTGCATTTTGTTAGGGGCGTCACTGGCTTTGCGAGCGCATTACGCGGTCATTCATCTCTTTTTGTATGCGATTCAGAAGCTAGGTCTGGCTGGAAATCTTCTGCAGAACCTTAAATTGCGAGTGTAGTAGGTGAAGGTACGTGTAGGTTTCACAAGCTCATCACCCACACGTCATTGCTGCCCAAATTAGCTTCCAGCCCTGTCACATCCAGAGCTTTCACCAACCTAACTACTTTTGCTGCCCATTCACACTTGTGGCTCTTCATGTCACCTTTTCAGTTCCATTCTGGCTCGGCAAGCACTGAGAGTACAAGCCCCAGCGAAGAATCAGACCGCATCACAGCATTGTTTCCAAATTGATTCCAAGAGTGGGGGGAAGATTTAGGCCAGAACTGCAATGGCCTCCAACCATCTCCAACCTAATATAGCGATGGCCTCCAAGCTAATGGCGATGTGTTTTCATCAATCTGGGGCCACCACAGCGATACTGCGCGACACTCCATGGCACATGCAGTAGAGGCAGTGGACGCCACTGCTCAAGCTCCCAAGCGCCGGCGCCTGCGACGCCTCTACCAGGAGGAGGAGGATGCAACGATGGCCGTGGATGAGGTGAAGGAAGCCAATCCACGGAGTACAGGTGAAGCAGACGGAGCAGACTCATCAAGGGAGACGGAGCAGAAACCCAAGCGCCCGCACAGGCCCTATTTGGAGAAGCGGAGCGGTATTCAAAACATCACGTGGAACAGAGTTTGCTGGGCATGGGAGGTGGGCTTTCCCATTTTCGAACAGAGAGGGAAAAAGAAAAATGGCTATACAACTCGTCAGTTCGCACTCAAGAAGTACATGAAGGATGGCCACACTGAGAGTGAAGCCGACGCTGCAGCCCTGGAGGCCGCCAAGGCCTTCAGGGCAGAGCAGGTACAAAAGGGCGTTCTCAAAGAGTCAAAGCCCATGGACAGCAATTTCCTCAACAAGGTGTTAGGCGTTACTTGGTGGAAAGCTGCAGGAAAGTGGAGGGTGCAGGTGACGGTGCCGACATCTAGGAAGAGGATCTCCGGCGGCTTCTTCACCGACAAGGCCGCTGCCGAGAAGAAGGCGCTGGAGATTGCCGAGGCCCATGGGGTGAAGCGAACGGTGACGGCTGTGGGGAGCTTGGCGGATTTAGCGGTCATCCAGCCGAAGGTGCCCTACCCCAATGTCACATGGAGTCAGTTAGGGCAGTGCTGGGTGGCCCAATGCGACGTCGGCGGTAGCAGGCAAATTTTCCGAGTGAAGCCAGAAAGCCTTTCAGAGGCCGAGCTTGAAGCTTCCCACGCGAAGGCTGTCGCCTGGAAAAAGGAGCGGGAGAAGCAAAAGGAGGAAGAGAAGCAGGAGAAGGAAAGGAAGAAAACAGAGCAGGCGGGATAGAGTTCCATCAGAACAGGCCAGAATCATGACCACGAAACAAAGCTCTTATGCAATATAAATACCATTAAATACCTTACTTACATGGATGGGCCACGCAACTGGCTGTTCTGGGACATGTTCCATACATTCCGCCACACTTTGCGGGGCGCAGCTGCTAGGAGCCGGCAGAGCCCAGTGCGCCCGCTCCCGCCGCGAAGCCGCGACAGGGCCGCCAGAAGGATGGCCAGTGCAAGAGCAAGAAGAGCAAGAAGAGCAAGGAGATCCTGAGAAAGATGGCTGCATGTTTTCATTTTGAACGTCGCATCTGTTTTGATACACGGAATGTGCAGTGAGTAATTTGGAACTACATATGCAGATGCAAGCAGGATTGGAAGTTTTTTGGGGAAAAAAGTGAGTTCCTAGCCAGGACACTTTCCAGGATAGCCTGCAGAACTTGCAGACATTCCTTGAAAAGAACGGGGTGCTACCATGGCACAAGAGTCCTGACAAGAGCGAGCGCTTGTTGGGGTGCTTCGTGCAGAAGCTTCGAACTATGCAGAAGGAGGGAACACTTTCAGCCGAAGGTCTTCAACAAGTGAACTCGTGCTGCCCGCTCTGGAAGGCCCTTTCTCGTCGTCCCAGCATACCGGCTTACTCGCTTTTGCCAAAGAACACCTAAACGGAAACGCACGAAACGATGCTTGTTGGCTTGCCATGTGATTAGTGCGAGTTACCCTGATGATTGAGCTTTGTTGTCGTAGAGTCGAATGACTCCCAGTCCAATCCGGTTTGATGGTGAATGCTTTCTTCAGGAACATGGAGAAGCCCACCGTGTGGTACCAGTCGTGCGCATGGATGACATGGACCAGCCAGATGGACAGGACTCTCACTCCACTCGTCGGCACTTCTTGGCTGCCCGGGCAGCCCTCCAAGTGGCAGCCTGTAAGAGTTCCGACGAGCGCCGGGCATTGCTCCAGACCATGCGGAAGAAGTTTCACCCAGACAAAAACGTGGGCAACGAAGACGAGGTGCGGCTCACCTTTGATTTCATCCAGTCGATGTGGAAGAAGGAGTTTGGAGGGAACCGACGGGCGTGAAAAAGCCGAGCGCGAAGCTAGAGCTATTGCTGTCGTGACATTGATGTCCGATATCAAACATCAAGTATATTGAATTTGGTGCGAAAAATAGAAGAATACACCATAGTTGAACACAAACTATATATGGTTTATTTTACTCCGTCCATTTTCTTGCCACTGATTCAGGCTGTTCCATGACCACTCTGGTCTCGCGAGTTCCAAGTGCGGTCAGCTTGCCATCAAGTAACACTCCAAATATTTCAGAATCCCTGTTTGTCCTGGAATTCCGTTGAGGATCGTTGAGGTGTTTTTCGCATGTTTTAGCCATTGCTTTCTGTTTTTCACCCCAAGGACCTCCGCAGTTCTGCCGTTTTTCATTTCGCTCGTCATCACAAGCCTGCCAGATCCACTGCGTGGTGCCCGAATTCGAAGCCTCCACGGTGCCATGGAAGGTGGGGTCATGCGGCCATACATGCAGATGTACAGGTGGAAGACTTGCAGGTCTCCAGGTCTCTTGGGTCATTCAAAATTCCCGATCGGAGTCAACGAGGCAAAAAAGCTGAAATCATCCAGTTTTCTTAGATCACGTCATACGATAGGAGGTTGTCGATTTCGTCGGCTAGCCGTGTCCGCGGGCGCATGGGGTGCCATGAGCATCGCATTCAACCATTTTTTATTGGGTTCTCATTGTGGGGATCTACCCACAGAAGGACGACAGATCCGGTGACGGATGCCACCGAACGGATGTTCTGCCCAGACGCGCATCCTGCCACTGGGCTATGCACGGGCACCCGAGAGCATGTCTGAGTTCACGCGCCTTGGCTGAACGGGATTCCGCCGGGCGGACGGCGATTGCTGGCGTGCTTGGGCTTCGAAACGCCAGAGCTGGTCACGGGGGTTGGACAGACTGGGTGGGGAGACTGAGAAGTGGCGTCCCTTTCTGCATCCCTTTCGTTCTTGTCATATCCCATCTTGGGGACGAGAAGTGGCTTCGCACTCTGGTTCGCTCTCGACTGTCAGGGCATGCAATTGGTCAAAACAGGGATGGGCTAGTTGTCAAACAGATTTGGCCCAATAGAGCTTGTTGAGGCTTGTTGTTTGGAAAGGATCGTAGGAATTCGCTCGACCTGTCAGAGCTCCGTCGCCACGAAGTGCACCGAACATGCATACTGTTGAAGGACCCGCGACGACGAACCTCCTCTGAAGAAACGGTTGCAAGACATGAACACGGAAGAGGAGAGTGTGACTGCCCCGAAAGCAACGAACGACAAGCCTGACAGAACGAACCAACAGCACCGAACGCTCTCAACGAACAGAAGAAGGAACAGCAGCATCACGCAGCGCAACCGATCTTTACAACTCCGAATAGCAACCTCATCAATTGGCAGGAGACAACAACAACAACAACAACAACACCAACAACAACACCAACAGCAACAGCA